GCTCATAGTCCAGCCAACAAAACCCACTAAATTGATGATATGTTCGGAGTTTTAAAAGCTTGTAGCTTGTCAGATCTCTCCATCGATGAGGGAAAGACGAGCAGATAATGAGATAACAACTGGAAAAGGCTTCCATCCACGAAGCGATGTCCGTAATCAGGAGCTTCCGTTTTTTAGGCGTGTGCGACAACACTAAGTGGCCATTGAATTAAAGTTGCAGCTCCTGCTGAGGAATGGTAATGTTTTCTGCTAATAAATCTTCCAGATTCACGAACTTTCCTGCAGTGATTCAAGAAACAGCCTTGGAAAGGTATTGGTGAGTAGCCAGGGCCAACCACAAAAGGCTGTTGAAAAGGTGAGGCTGTCAGTGAGGGAACCGCCATAGGACTTACAAATAGTTGAGAAGCAAAAACAGAATTAACTGTAGCCAGTAGGCTGTAAACCGCAGAAGAACAAGGTGCCATGGAAGACAAAACAGCCAAGGAAAATACAGGAATGAAAGATGGGACGACAAGAGACAACAACATACCTGTTGATACATTCGCTCACGAAGCCATTGGTACTGGAGGAGTACTGGACAAAGAAGTCAACAGCAAAAACCCAGCAGGAACTGATGAAGACCAAGATTGATGAAAGCTGCATGCATCCAAGTGTGCCGCACGAGTAGCAAGGGAAGAACCTTGGGCGGCAATGGCGGGAAGGCCTTAAGAAACTGAATAAGAGTCAACCGTGGCAGATAACGACTGCTGTACGATAGCTGAAATTGAAGTTTGGATGGCCTGAATCACAGAGGCTAAAAATTCTTGTGATATGGAAGCACTAGCAGGAGTACCAGATGCTTGCACGGATGTCGACAGGGCATTAGTTGTGACCGAAATGGTGGACGCTGGAGCTGAAGACACTGCCGGCACAGAGCTCTCCAAACCATTTCTAGTACGTCGAGGAGGCATGACAGCCAAAGAGATTGCAAAATGGTGAAGGAAACAGAGCGATAACTGCTGGCCAACAGCAGATCTCCCAGTTAACTCTGATTATTGATAATCTCATTTATTTAATAGTTTTGAATTCTTACTGTAGTTGGCAGGACCCTGTTGATAACAGCACTTTGTACTGAAGGGTTATCCTGGGAAAACATTCAATGAGGAAGAGGAGGAGGAGGAGGATCATTTCCCAAAATTTTTTGTTCCTTTTCCTCTTTGGTTCAAGTATCACTCTTTCAGACCATTTACCGATCAGATTTGCGACCTACTGGCATGCTCTCTTTCAAACTTTGATGCAAAATTGGCAACTGATGATAAGGGCCAAACGACTACAAGTTATTGGGGTTATACTTGCAAACCAAATGGAACAAACCTAACCGGAACTTCTACCGTATAATTTAGAAAGATACTTACAAAAAAAAGAGCAGTAATATAATCCGTAAAATCCAACTTTTCCGACCCTCAAGTAAAGAAGTTTTGAAGCCTTGAAACTTGTAGTATGATTTAACAGCAAGGGGAATATATTAAGCCAGGAGGAATTTATTTGAGATGGTGCAAAAGACGGATTTCACGGAAATGTGAATATTAAACAACCATTATTATATTACTTCCCTTTATTCCTGTAAGTATGTTATGTAATATTATTAATATAATATTGTATAAGATACTTACAGAAGGGAAGTAATATAATAATGGTTGTTTAATATTCACATTTCCGTGAAATCCGGAAAATCCGTCTTTTCCACCCCTCAAATACAGAAGTTTGAAGCCAAAGAACTTGCAGTATGATTTAACAGCAAGGGAATATATTAAGCCAGGAGTTCATTTGAGAGGGCAGAAAAGACGGATTTTCCGGACTTCAAAGAAATGTGAATATTAAACACCATTATTATATTACTTCCTTTTATTTCTGTATCTTATATATTATTATAATATTATATAAGATACTTACAGGAATAAAGGGAAGTAATATAATAATGGTTGTTTAATATTCACATTTCCGTGAAATCCGGAAAATCCGTCTTCTCCGCCATCTCAAATGAACTCCTCATGGCTTAATGTATTCCCCTTGCTGTTAAATCATACTGCAAGTTTCAAGGCTTCAAACTTCTTTACTTTGGGGGCGGAAAAGTCGGATTTTCCGGACTCCTAAATTTCTCTGCCTGACTGAAATAGCTTCAAATAACTCAGAGATGTTTGTACAACAAATTGAAAGTATGAAACTTCTTGTTATGAGTGCTCATTTCGTTAAATCACTTCAGTCTTTAAAGACTCGTACAAACAGTTTTAAACTTTTTGAAAGCAGTTGTTTACGTAGTGAATTTATGATAATCTGCTAATTTTTATGTTCGACGTGAATTAGCCTGAATGACTTGAAAACTCTCCAGAAAACACAATCAAGAAATGTGGAAAGACAAATCTATTGTTGACGTAGAAAGGCTCCCTTGATTACAGTGGTGCTGTTAGTGATTTGCATTTGACCTTGGTTCATCGTCAATGGCAAATTAGGATTGATGAGTGGCGTGAAACGTCTTCATCTAGTTGAAGTAACAAGTTCTTTTCATCCTTGACGTGCAGAAAGGGCCCCAAAAACAAGTCCAGGGCTTTTGGGATAATTACACTACTGTTCTTGGTTCCTCGTTAACACATTTCATTAAAAAGATTATACACCAGATGAATTGCGCTTGTTGAAAAGGAAAAAGTCTTGTCATGGTAAAGAAGCCGCTTGGTTTCAGTAACGCTTGAATTATTTACGTTGATCTCGGGTTCAATGGCAAATGACAACGGTGTCAGCTTTTCATGCATAGTAGCGGTCACAAGGTCATCAGTGAGATACCTTAACGTTCCACATATTACATATATGGTAAGGTATGCGCCAGCTGTCAGATTTATTCACAAGTTTCCATCCATGATATTTAAGTGGAAGACTTGTAGCTTTTTTACAACCAGCGATTGACAGAGGAAATGCTGTGAGCAAAGAAACCATGTCGACAGCTTAACAACAAAAAGAGCGAGAGCACTGCAATCTGTTACTTGGCTCCCGTAATCAGTGGAAGGTGCAGTGTTGTAAGTGCAAAATGCATTTGTAACGTGAAAGAAAAGGCTTTGCCAAAGGCTTGGAACTCGATTTGCCAGAAACGTGATATTTGATAGAGCGATTTCAGGTTTGTAAATGTTNGCATTTGTAACGTGAAAGAAAAGGCTTTGCCAAAGGCTTGGAACTCGATTTGCCAGAAACGTGATATTTGATAGAGCGATTTCAGGTTTGTAAATGTTCAAAGGCTGAAATGACAGAATGACATTGTATAACACATGTTCAATTCTTGACGCACATTATCCTACTTTCTTGCAGGTATATCAAACGTAGCGTTCTTCTTCAGTGCAATTTGCACTCAAGAAAAAAAGAAAGGAAGTATCCAGGAAAGCAAAGATGAAAGTGATAACAGTAACGAAGAATTCGAATCATGCCAAGTACCTAGTTCCACTTCACAGCAGTGGCTCGATGGAAATTTGGCTTCTGTCAACAAAGCCCTTTGCCCTGCGATTTCCTATTGGGTCGCGCTAACGACATTAAACGGTGCTCCTGCAAGTACAATTTCCATGCACAAGGCGTTATTGAATTATGGAGGAGACGTTATTGTGGATCAGGTAAAGCATCTTGTTTAGAATGCAGACTGTTTATTTATGAGTGTACACATTGTAACGTTTTCAAGACACGAAAGCAACACTTATTAACACTCAATTAAATAAGTTTAGTCTTAAGGAAAACAAAATACACGGCACTTAAATAAAGTGCTGGCTGTCTGGAATAACCATAGGGGCTAGAGGAGTCAGACAGCCAGTTAAAATCTTGCAAATTTCCACACAGTTTTTAAAACGCTCTACTTTATGCCTTTTAGGTTCAATTCCAAGAAGGAATGTCCTGCCATGAAAGAGCTTTATAAAGTTTTAAAAGACCACAAAAACCAACATATGCAGGACCTCGTTCTATCATCGCATCGGCATTGCTACAGACAAGAAGCCAGGAAAGTTATTGGCGATGATATCAGCTTGATCAGTACACAAGAATTGGAAGAGTGTGGCAAAGAGAATGTAGTGCTAGTTACCATCATCAACAAGAAGTTTCAATCATCTTTGGCCAGCGTGATAGAACACCTTATCAAGGCAAAGTTACAAATTGACAAGTTCGGATTCACAGCCTCGAACATTGCAGTGCAACCACCCAGCCCTATGGTGCAAAACGACGAGAAGAGGTTCTCAGATAAGTTGACAATCCTGGTAAACGACATTTCCATTGCAATGGAAAAGCTCAGTTATGCCACTTACAGGGGAAAGGTCTACAAAAAGGAAAGCAGGGCAAAGTATATGTTTTCGCACAGATGTGAGGCCCGTGCGTTCGTGAATACTCTTGCCACCAATGAATTCTTCAAGCCTAGACTCGTTCGAGAAATGAGAAAAGTGGTGGAGCTATTAGCCGACCCGTACTGCGAATTGTTTAGACCACTGGTAATTGTCTATGACCTAATCAAAGTCAACCAAGGCGTCTGTTGGTCGCTAAAAGAGAGGTCCTTCGTAAATGATGCTATCCAAGAAGATAAAATTGGAAAAGTATCTCCCAGAGCGTTTCCTCCCTTTGACTCAATGCAAGAACCAGATCCAAACTACTTTCGCCAGATCCTTGAAAACAGCCTAAGTCCAGAAGAACAGTCAAACTTCTGCGAAGATTTCTTGAAGTTGCTTAGTTACAAGAAGAAGCTCAAAGATAAAGTGCCTTGTTTAGTCAGAGACGCTAACAGCGGTAAAACAAGTCTGTTTTTTCCAATCCTGGGCCTTGTGAACCACGGAAACGTTACCACAGTGACTAAACAACGAGCATTCAACAAGTCTATGATCTCTAAGTTCACCAAAGTGATATTCATAGATGAAGCTACAGAATCTACACTTGACATCAACGACTGGAAAACGTTGACACAAGGAGGTTACTCCTTCCGACCAGCCTGCAATGGACAGACGATTGTCCACGTATGAATTCCGTAGCCTGCTAAACCCACAAAAGAGTGCAGCCACATGGCTAAGGAACCACCCCATGGACTGTGTACTCTGGGCCACCAAAAAGGCCAGGACACATAGAGATGATGGTGAAGATCCAATTGAAACAGACAAAGAGCAATCTTTCCTCGAAGATGGAATCTTGCAAGAAAAGGAAAAGGACGAACTACGCGCTTTGTGTTTAGACCAGGGAGCGGACAACACCTGCAATCAGTCTGTAAGGGAAGACGAAACCCCACAAGACGCCGCGCCAGACACTGAAAGTGAGTCAGATTCATGCAGCCAATCAGGCGATATCGTAGATATCTTGGAAAACCAGCTTGGAATGCTGAAGCCAGAGAGTCTTTAACATAGGATAATAACCCACATGCTGGACACAGAGCAGGAAAAGCAACAAAGACAAGTCCTGTTTGAGCAGGAGCGCTACACTCAGCGTAAAGCCTGGTTAAAGGACAGAGGCGTGTCTAGTCAGAATGCAGAGCTTCTTCCCGAGGAATCTGACGAACCAACGCCTTCACCAATCACAAGAGATCTCAAGAGGTTTACATGCGCCCAAACAGTAGCCGAAGACACGCATTGCCAAGCTGCCCGGAAAGCCTTCGAGGGTGCGTGGCTGAAGGAGACGGAAAAAGAGTTGCAGGACTGTGTAAGGCGCTTACACTCTACCCAACATCCCCCGACGAGAAATTAATTGGAGGCATACCAGGAAGTATTGGAAGATAAGCTGAAGAACCACCACAAAAACCTTGGCACGCTTGGCTCTAAAGAGGCCTTGGAGGAGCGGAGGCGCACGTGCGTCTCCCTTGGTCTACTAGACAGGGGACACCAGCATTTGGTGAAATGCATCATTGAGGCCTTACCAACCAAAGAAGAACTTGGACCTTTGCCTACAGGTTCACAACAGGAGACAGGAGGGACACGGGCTGGGAAAGCATCAGAAAGTGACGACGAAAGAAGCTTGTTCATTACGCCGCTTCCCAGGGCTGCTCCAGGGACCTCGCTGTCGCGTGCCAGTTCAAACGCCTATGACCTGGTGGTTTTAGAGGAGTTGATGCACAACAGCACTACAGGTAGTAAGAGAAAGAGGTCAAAGTGTTGTGCTCACAGTCAAGTGAGTGAGAAGAGGCCTCAAAAAACTCTGCTTAATTACTTCAGTCAGAAATAGAAATTACACTAAATAATGAAACGAATATCACTGTACCAAGTTTAGGCGCAGAAAGAGTTAAAGTTGAAGTTACGATTGACTCAACTAATTACCCAGGCAGTGAGGCCTGGGTTTAAATTTCGGCTCTGTTTTTTTTCCACGTTCAGTCACAAATCGCCGTCTGGTCTCTAAAGCACATGCATCACCTGTGCATGCGTACAGCACGTGGAATTTACAGAGGTTGTCATCAAAAAAAGTTAGCACGGATTCCATGATTTCTAGGGCAATGAAATCACATACAAACGAAAACACCGTTCATACATAAATGGTGAATTTTAAGCTTTATTAACTTATCACTACTCACGATGACTTCGATAGCGTTGATCCTAGCAGTATGCAGGACACCTATC